GAGATGTAAGCCTCTCTTATCTGATTTCTTATTTAATATTATATTTTTATGGATATAAATCTTGTTAATTTCAGATGAGATCAGCGGATGGAGGGAAAACTACTTTCTGCACATGCACCCGTTGCAGCCATCAGTTTCAGGAAAATTAAGTTGGAATCGTGTACGAACAGGTTGTCTAATTTCATTATTTTATTTTTGTCACTTTGGCTGAAATCTGCTCCCATTTTTCACCAAGCCTTAATTTGGAGTGAGATTTGTATGTGCAAATAGACGTTTTGATCCTATATAGCTTGTATAATGCCTGCAAAATATATAATCGACCTAGAAAAGTTTTTTTTTTTGTGTGTTAAGTTGCTGAATGCATACAAATTGCCTTTATATTATGATCATGTGGTGTTTTTGGTGAAATTTAATCTATTAGTATTTTCAAGGAAACAATTTGTTTTGCCATCAATTGATTTATGGCTACATATCAATCTATTAGTATTTTATTTCTACTTAATTAACAAATTTTAATGTATATTAAACTTTCAAACATAAACAATATGTTCGTCTCAATGAATGGTACTTTGAGTGTGAAGAATGTTAGATTTAGTGAAAAGAATATTCTCTCACTATGATTAACATTTTTTTAACTGCACCATACTATAACATTTGTAAGAACCCATTCTAAATAGACATCTATTTTCATAACTCTTTCATTTGGCTTGAGGGGTTGAATTTTATATTTTTTAAAGATCGATAGTAACTAGTTTTTGAAACGATTCACGAAAAATGATTCAATTTTGGACTCTCATTAGTGATAGTATCATGTTAAATTCCTGGTCTAATATTCTCAGTAACAAGTAAATATAGACTCATAGTTTAAGTAATTTAATCTTTAATTTTTATCATTTAAATTGAATAGTTAGTAACATGAAAAAATATTTTCTATTAAAACAATCAAAAATAGTTTTTTAAATTTATGTTTTTTCTTCTTCTTTCTAAATAAATTATATTAACTTTTTTTGGTTTAGATTGTGGACTTAAATATTTAAGAAGTAACTGTAATATCATAGCACCGGTGTGTAATTTTTTCTTAAATATTTTATTTTTATTTTTAAAATATGTATTTTTTTAAAAAATAATAAATTATTTTGATAAAACAATTTTATTTTTCTTATTTATATTTTTATTACATTTTAAAAATAAAAGCGTGTATACCACACTAGAACCCGTGCAAACACACATGTAACACAACAATACCGTATGCACGCACGAGTAACAATACCAAAATCCGTGCGAACGCACTGACTATTATATCAATCACTTTTTTTTACTAAACCAATCACATTTTTTTGGTAATGAGAATGACAAATATGTTTTTTTAAACATAGAGATTCAAACATCATTTCAATAATTTAATTTTAACCGAAACATGAATTTACTGATAAAAATATTAAATTTTAACGGGAACATGAACTTATTAATCAAAATATTAAATATTAACGGGAACATGAAATTAGTGATCAAAATATTAAATATTAATGAGAACATGAAGTTATTGATAAAAATATTGAATATTAACGGGAACATAAAGTTAGTGATAAAGATATTAGATATTAACAGGAATATAAAATTATTGATCAAAATATTTAATATCAATGGGAACACGAAGTTACTGATCAAAATATTAAATATTAACAAAAACATGAAGTTACTAATCAAAATATTGAATATTAATGGGGATCAAAACATTGAATATTAACAGAAACATGAAGTCACTGATCAAAATATTGAATATTAACGAGAACATTAAGTTACTGATCAATATATTGAATATTAACGGGAACATGAAGTTAGTGATCAAAATATTTAATATTAATGAAAATATTAAGTTATTGATCAAAATATTGAACATTAATGAGAACATGAACTTACTAGTCAAATTATTGAATATTAACGGGAACATGAGATTACTGATTAAAATATTGAATATTAATAGAACAACTTTCATTTTATTTTTATTATATTTTAAAAACAAACGCGCGTATCATACGGGTACCCGTGCAAACGCACGGATATCCCATTAATTCTATAGCATTAGAAGTTTAGAACTCTAGTGCGTAATAAAAATTAATTAGAGATACTAATTTCAACAATTTCATCTTTTTAGTTATTTAAATTATGAAAACTTTAGAAAAGAGAAAAGGTAAAGACATATTATTTTATTGATCATTTTAATAAAGAATATCATTTTGAACAACAATTACAACAAATAGACCTTTTTTCAGCAATGAATATAATTTAAAAAAAATTGTGAAATAAAATAAAAGATGAATTTCTTGTTAATAATATTCTATTTTACATTAAAAAAAATATTTAAATATTTTACACTAATTCACTTGCCGATGAATCTAAATTTAATTTTTTTTAAAGCAACACTATAATTTGAGGTTGATTATCTTCTTTTATATATTTTATTTTTATTTTGTGCAAATGTTATTTTAAATATTTGATAATATTTAATGTGAATTTTATAAACTTCAATAGTAATATTTTAGTTTGTATTTGTCGTTCCCCTTAATATTTTGTGCAAAATCTGCCATTGCACCAGAGTTATCGATTTGTGTGTTTGTGTAGCCATGTGGAAGTAAATCACTTGGATACTCACCAAAGTTATTGATTGGTGTGATGTGTAGCCATGTAGGCATAAATCACTTGGATATTCACCCGAGATGTTACTTGGTGTGCTTGTGTAGCCATGTAGATGTGGTGCACTTGAATACTCACAATTGATGTGATCGTGCATTCATATAGGCAATGCACACTTGGATACTCATTACAAGTGTGCTTGTGTAGCCATGTGAGCGTAATTCACTTGAATACTCGCCTGATTTATCGAGCAATGTGCTTATGTAATCTCTTGACGTTATGCAATTGGATACTCACCAAAGGTGTACTTGTGTGGCCTGGGTAGTAAGGTGTATACTACTTCGAGATTATCTCGTACACGGGGTACAAGTATGCCACTTGATGGTACAGACTTGTGTGTAAATTGATGGTTCTATAATTGAGTGGTCAACAGACTCCTGATTGTGCTGCTATGTGATGTTTGTGTGTAATTTGAACTTGAAAGAGAGGAAACTCCATATTAATGGTGGATCCATATTTGATGCATGTACCTTGTAGAGCCGAGAGGATCCATATGATATGAGAACTCGCTGAGATTTAGTAATCTCACCCTAATTCTATTATCGTTTTTCAGATACAATTTATAAGTGAAGGAATTTTTAGAAGGTCTGGATTAAAGACTTGGACAGACATATGGCTTGAAGACCTTATTAGATCTTATCTTTCCGCTATACATTCCTTGTAGACATATGTGTTGTATATATTCTTATCTAGAATTTTGCGATGTATGCGATTTTTATGATGTCATCTTCAACTTTTGTATGTTCCTACCTACCATATCATAACATCATTATATATTATTCTAGACGTATATGTATGAGGTGTTACATTTCTGCTATCAGTATCAAGCAATAACTCATTCAACTTATCTGTCAAGTCGACGAAAGATCTGGTGCCACCGGAAGCTTGAACTCAACACAAAGTTTGTCTCTGTTGAAGTGGACTTCTGCCTTAATCAAATATTAAGGAAAGACCTTTTGAGATGTGTCGGGGCTGGAAAAATTCAATGAAATTGTGACCATTATTTATTTATCCCAGAAACAGGGAAGATAATTGGAAAATCTTAGAGATATGGATAAAGCGCTCTTTGTAACCAAATTAATAGTTTGAGAGTCATTTAAGCAAGTGTAAGGTGTTAGACACCTCTCACCTCCCTTGTACTCAAGGAAAATCTTCACTGATCTTAAGGTAGTCAAGTGTGTGTTTACTTATTTTTGTTTAATCTACTTTATTTATTTATTTACAAAGAGTTCAATATTCTTTATAACTTCCAAGGCGATAAGAGAACCACGACAATTAAGGGTCATGAATACGATATAACATAATTATTAAACAAACAGTATAAAAGTAATCTAGAATTGATAAAGACCAAACAATCCTAAAAATAAAGAATCCTAGTAATAATGCAACTTCTTCCGACCTTCTCCAAAGAAGTTATCACATTATTCTTTAATAACAATATCTTTTGAGTTAGAGAACATGAAATCGAAATAATTTTATTAATTTTTTATGACAAGAATCACTTTATTATTTAAAAATTTAACTTTTATTTCAATTGTAAAACCTAATTATTATTTATTTGTTCTTATTTTTATTAATAATCAATTGAATAATTTCAAATCTAAAATTTTATATTATAAATTATTTCAAATTAAACTGTTAAATTTTTTTTGAAAAATTAATATTATACTACAAATTCTTTTAAAATCTTTATATATTTTTGACCTAAATAATCATAGAAAATCTAAAAGCGTGGCGTTGAAATGATTTTAAGATCATTGAATACAAGTACAATAGATTTCCTTCCGAAACACCTTGTACACGCAATGAGTAAATTGATCGATCACCTTAGATAAAATCGAACGGTCTAGAAAATACGTCGATTTTATTTATTTCAAAATCCTAAACAACAAGGTTAAAATCTGAACACACGATCTCAAATCTAACGGCTTAATATCATCCACACAGCATGAACATAAAACACCCCTACTGCAGGAAACATTTCTTTCACATTTTCTCCTCAAATTCCCAAATCCAATTTCAACCCTTTCATTCTTCTTCGCGAAATCAACATTCGATTCAACGCTACTCTCTTCCGATTTCCGATTAGGGTTATTGTATAATTTGTACCATATAATTTCAATTACACTTTGTTCATTTTGTTCTTTCAATTTTGTATTTTTTATTTCATGATTGAATATCATTATTGATCGATGTATTCATTTCCAATCCTGTAATCTAGTTTCATCAATATCTATATCAATTATCTGTAATTTGTAAACTAGGTTTAGGATTTGGATTAGGGTTTGTATTTTGCTTTATCTGCTATGGAGAATTTGCGAAGACCGTTTGATAGATCCAAAGAACCGATTTTGAAGAGACCTAGATTAATGAAAGATCCGGACCGTGCTTCGAATTCGAGTGGTCCGATGATTCCACAGAGACAACAGCAAGTTACTTCTGCTTCACGGTTCAGACAAAATGATAGAGACGTGGAGAATGATGACGGTGGTTACCAGCCTCAGCCGCTGCCGTTTCAGGAGCTGGTGGCGCAGTATAAGAGTGCGCTTGCAGAGCTGACTTTCAATTCGAAACTGATAATTAACAACCTGACTAGAATTGCGGATGAAAATCGAGCTGCTGAGAAGGCTGTTGCTGCTACTATATGTGCTAACATTCTAGAGGTGAAGTTAGTTTTTACGTTGTGTAGCTGTTTATATGTTCAGTTGGTTAGTTTTTTTATTCCTTTTTTGAATTGGATTTTTGTACCTGTTAGAAGATGGAATAAAAATGGAAAAAGAACCCTTTATTACTACTGTCTATATGGTTTTCCAGATTTAATTGATGTTGTTGTTTCTTATGTTATGTTATGTTATGTAATGTGTAGTTTCATTTCATTGGTCCCCACTTATGGCTTTATTTATCTGTGTGTTGATTTTGAGCTGTGCTCTTTCACCCACCTAGAAAGGAAATTGAACCAAAAGGGAAATGTGTTGCCTTACGTTCTAAGTTAATTCTAAAGGAAATAAAGGAGTTTTCATTCTGAAATTGCTGCAGTTTTTTAATCCATTTGTTGCAAGAGAAACGCCGCAAGAATCAATTAGAGTGGTTCTCTATGGTTCTTTTATTTTGTTGACTTGGGTGCACATGAGAGTATGAATCTTTGGAAACATTTAATTTATAATGTATCAATATGGAATGGTTACTCCATAATAGCCAATGCCAGTTAATGTTTCATTTCTATTCTTTGTCATCTTTTCATTTGTAATACACAATGTCATTGTACAGTTCTTTGGCACTTTGAAAAGGTAGTTCTATTTCATAGTTCATAAGCCAATACATCTTACCTCATAGGTTTGATTTGTGTATTGAATGATTCAGTTTATCTGTATTTTTTGGTGGGGGTTATCTTAGAAAGAGAATTTGTATGGAAAAGTTATACAGAGTTCCTTGTACCATTTCACTTTTGTTCTAGTGGATTCACTCTGTTTACTCGAGAGACACATGGCATGCTTATAAAGATAACGTCGATACTTCCCTCTACAATCAATTTGGAACAAGGAGCGCATGGAATTAGTCAGTGTTTAGCAAGATTTGGAAGATTGGACAGTATTCAGACAGAGGAATCAAGATTTCATATTTGTCAAGTTTTTGAAGATTACTTTAATTCATCTTTGTACATTGTTAAGGCTTTTACATATGTTGTACTTATTCCTTGGTAGAAGATATGATCCGAACTATCCATGAAGTGTCAAATGTTAGGCTTGTTTATATGTTTGTTTAATCCATTTGTTTTCTCCTTACTGTGAGACCTGGCTGTTACCCGCAGCTAGAATAAGGAACGGCTTAGCAATTCATTCTGAATATACATACTACATTTTATAACTTCTATGTAATGCTGTTGATAAACTATTGCTGGATTTTGATGTCATTTGCTGCTAATACCTTAGTTGTGAGCTATATACTGTTGGTTTTTGGTTCTTTCCTTGTGTACATTAATTTCTAGCTTGATCATTAATATTTTAGTTATACAAAGAAAGGTAAATTCTCAATTAATTGTGTTAATGACTTTCCAGGTTCCTAGTGAACAAAAGCTGCCATCTCTTTATCTCTTGGACAGTATTGTTAAGAATATTGGGCGGGATTACATAAAATACTTTGCTGCCAAACTACCCGAGGTTAGATATCAATTCTTCTCTTTGCATATTATTCACCTTCATGTTTTTTAACATGTCTTTACTGTTACAATGGTAAACAATGAATCCTTCATATCATTAAACATGCATGTTTTTTCGGAGACATGGTAAATCATTTTACAGACCTATTTTAACTTGGTACTTGCTAATTTACTCCATTACATTTTAGGTGTTCTGCAAGGCATACAGACAGGTTGATCCTCCTGCCCGTCAAAGTATGAAACATCTTTTTGGAACTTGGAAAGGAGTCTTTCCTCCTCAGACCCTTCAGGCTATAGATAAAGAACTAGGCTTCACTCCAGCAGTCAATGGTTCGTCTTCAGCATCTGCTACACTCAGGAGTGATTCACAGGCACATCATCCACCTCATAGTATACATGTTAATCCCAAGTATTTTGAAAGACAGCGTGTTCAGGAGTCCAGCAGGGTAAGCGAAACGATTGTACCTTAAATTTATAGTTCAAACTTCAAAGTTTTAAAATTTTGATTTCATGGGAAAAGATCAAAATACGGCATGATTACAGGGTTTATGTCTTCTGATGGATTGGAAATCCAAGTCATTCCTTGCCTGATGAAACTGGGATTTGTGTCATCATATAATATCTTAATCTTTGTTATTAGGACAACCTAATATTACTGCAATCACTGATTTTTCCATTGGACGTTTCCAATGAACTCTACCCCCATAGTCTCCTGATTAATCATGAAAGGTCCTGCTTTTTTATCTAACAATCGTTTTATCTAGTTGGATCTTAGACTATTCCAACTTATTATGCAAACTAGCCAAACAACTCTAGTCTGGAGGCACAAGCATGAGAACTTTCCAATGAACTCATAGCAATAGTGTTATAGCAATATATTTTCCTGTCATGTTACTTTAGTTATCCATATTCTTCTTGATATCATGCCTTTTGACATGTACTTTCTGAAATGAATTGAAGACTAAAGGAGTTGTTGTTGATATGACTGGAGTAATTGCAATCTCAAATGATGACCATGTTGCTGTTAACATCTACTTATGGCTAGTAATAGTCTTTGTTTTTTCTTTATGCTTTTCATCACTCTGTCAGTTGTCATATTTTAATTTTAATGATATACATTGCAGAGTAATCAACACACTCATAGAGACCCGTTTGATGATCCTGTTCCAGAAAAGAGCGCATCCTATGGAGGCAGTGAACATGGTTCCAATCTCTCAAGGAATATGGGCATGGGTATTGGCAGAACTGCTGGCAGCGTAACCGAGTTAGGACACAGAAATTTGTACAACAAAGCTGGTGCCGGTGTTTCAGGGACCATATCTGGGCAAAGAAATGGTGTTGGCCTCAAGCATAGTTTTTCAAATACAGAAGCTACTACTATTTCAGATGCACAGCATCATCCAACACGAAACATTACTGGCATAAAGAGAAATGTGATGTCAAGTAGCTGGAAAAATTCCGAGGAAGAGGAGTACATGTGGGACGAGATGCACACTGGATTGACTAGTCATGGTGTCCGTACCAACTTGGGCAACGATGCTTGGACTGCTGATGATGAGAATTTGGTAATTTGGAGATATTAAAAACCAGAACTTTAATGATCTTTTCTATATAAGATTGAATTCCCTGAGATAAAATAATATGCCGAGTGTAGGTTACTAGGAGAACATAACTTACACAACTAACCCAATTTTATATCCTGATAAAAAAGAAACAAAGTTCTATACCTCGAATAAGATAACACATCATGGGACCCCAACAACTTAACCGTAATTTCCCTAATTACTGAAAGTTAAACCCCTTATCTACAATTTCAAAACACATCCCTAAATTACCTGTACATCGGTTAATTTAATGAACTAAATTTCATCTCCTCATTCTGCATTGTTATTATTAGTATGTAAATTTGTTGATTTTGTTTCCGTTGTGCAGAACGCTGAAGATAACCACCACCAAATCAGAAATGTTTTTAGGACAAATGTTGATAGAGAAATGACCAATAAATCTCAAGCCACTCAAAAGAAACAATTTCGGCATCATCCATCATTATCGTGGAAATTACAGGACCAGCAATCAATTGATGAATTGGATAAGGAACTGGGTCACTCAGATGGATGCATCCCAATGTCTGGTTCCTTACTAGGCAATGCAAACTCTTCTGCTGTCAGGATGGGGAATCGTGCTTTCCTGCCCAATGCAAGAATTGGGGGACAGCAATTTCATTCTGTAGGATCTGAATCCACTTCTGGGCAGTCACCTTTGCAACAACGCTCTCCCTCGCCACCAAGTATTGACCACACTTGTCTAATGGAAAATTTTGATAAACAAGACCATCCCCGCACTCGTAAAACATCTCATTTTTTGGGAGGTATGCAAAGCCAATATATTGAAGATTCTTCACCCACCCTTTCTCCTAATATTCCGGTTGGAGACTTGCAAAGATCATCACAGGTAAAAGACTTGCGGGGTCCATTACCTTCAGCGAGTTTTCAGTCAAGGTATCAACAACAACTGAGGTCTGCTCACACTGAAGTAAGTGTTAAGAATGAGAAGCCACCCTTGTCCAATGTTTCTCTAGCCCGAGAAACCTCAGAGCAGGCAGCCACAAGTCATACAGAAGTTGCAAGTGTGAAGAGAAGAATATCATCCAACATGCCAATTAGTAGTAGTCTTCCATCTCTATTAGGGTCTCGGCCTTCTCAATCAGGCGGTTCTTCCCCTGCCACATTATTTTCTTCAGTGTCTACAAATGCTTCTCCATCTTCACCTGCTTTGCCAAAAAGACCTCAAAGAAAGGCTGAACAATCAATACGGACGTTTACTCTACCACCGGCTTCCTCGAATGTTAGCAGTGCCTCAGCCCAGACATCAGGTGCCACAAATAAAACCTCAAATCCACTTGCAAGCCTTTTAAGCTCATTAGTTGAAAAGGGTTTGATATCCACTGAAACTGAGACACCGGCTGAGGTACCATCTGAGGTGGTGGCTCGATTGGAAGATCACTGCGACAGCTTTAGTACAAGTAGCTCTATGCCTGTTGCTTCATTGTCCGGTTCTGCAGTTGTCCCTGTCCCTTCTATCAAAGATGAGTTAGATGATACTGCAAAAACACCTATGACCTTATCTGAATCAACCAACACAGATATTAGAAATGTCATTGGCTTTGAGTTTAAGCCTAATGTAATCAGAAAATTGCATCCATCTGTAATTAGTGGATTATTTGATGATTTTCCACATCATTGCAGCATTTGTGGCCTTAAGCTCAAATTCCAAGAACAGTTTAATAGACACTTGGAGTGGCACGCCACGAGAGAAAGAGAACACAGTGGTTTAACTATGGCCTCAAGATGGTATCTGAAGTCAACTGACTGGGTTGCTGGCCAAGCTGAATATTCATCTGAAAATGAGTTTACTGATTCTGTAGATTCACACGACAAGGAAACAGACAAAAGTCAAGAGGATGCAATGGTTCTAGCAGATGAAAACCAATGCTTATGTGTGTTGTGTGGCGAGCTATTTGAAGATGTTTACTGTCAGGAAAATAGCGAATGGATGTTCAAAGGGGCTGTTTACGTGACTAACTCTGATAGCGATACTGAGACGGGAATCAAAGATATGAGTTCCGGAAGGGGTCCCATCATTCACACAAGATGCTTATCAGATAACTTGTTATCGAGTGTCCTCAAGATGGTAAGGCTTATTATTTGATGTTATTATATTAGTCGACATGATAGAGGATGTCCAAAGTTCAAATTCATCTGTTTGTAAGAATGGGTGTGTTCAAATATTTGTTGGGTCGGAAGATGATCATTATAAATCAAACTTGCTGTGTTATCACTAAGACAATTCAATTGGTGGACCTAGGTCCTTTCTTTCTCAAGTGAAAAAAAAGTATATATTTATTTTCCGTTTCATTACCTGGCTTCATTTTCCTCGACCTCAATATCCTCCTTATTTGCTGATATAAAATTGAATGGCTTCTATCGCTTGAAATAATCTGGCCCTGTTATATTTTTCAGGAACAGGATTGAAACAAGTTAAGAACACTGGAACTCTGATGTTAACAAGAATTAAGAAACTGAGTAAACCCAGGTGTACTTTACTTTTAACGAATCTTGATAGCTCTTCATGCTAAATTTATTTCTCTAATTGGTTTTTAGAGCCGACAAACAAACTTCGTGCTCCAGTTTTTGTTTTGTTTTTGTTTTCCTTTTCCTTGTTCCTTTATTTTTATTTTTTGTATTGAGGAGGATGCTAAAATTCCTCGGTGTATACATGCAATAAATTTTACAGCTCAACTCTTGGCTCATTAATGTGGTTGTATTGTAACTTAATTTTATATGATAAAGCAGATTTGTGGTTTTTATACAACATCTGGCTGTAACATGAGCAGGGTTCGAACCCATGACCCCAGGGTCGCAATGGAACAACTTTACTGTTGAACCAAGGCTACCCTTCAATCTCTGTATCATTATAATTTCAAATTTCTACTGCATTACTGTTGCATTACATTTATAATTCCCTGAAATTCAGTTTCTTTGTAATATAGATCTGTTAAGTTTTCCCTTCTCATACTACCAAGATTTCCTGTTTTGTTGTCGATAAATGTAATAAAAAAATAAATATGTTTTCCTGATTGGATTCTGAGCCGAAAGTGCTGAATGCTGCTAGGCAAGGATGCTCTTCCTTTCCCCTTTTACTAGGTTTGTGTTTTATTTGGTTGAAGGATTACATGCATATTGAATGGTACTCTCATAATCTCTGCAAGAAATTTCTGCAAGGCCTTTTATAATTGTCTTTAAATTTGCTACCTTGTATTTTTGCTACTGGTACCTTCCTCCTTGTTCTTTGAATCACAAGAGTTTTGCCATGTAGTAATAATGTTATATATAACAGTAATATAAATGTGTTGACTTACTGTACCGACATTTCTGGTTTGCTCATCCCTGTGGTGCATATACGTTGACGTTTATGTTTTCAGCAAGAACACATTTATTATATTTACGTACAGTTCTGCATCAGTTCGCATCTTCAGTTTGTCATTTTATGAGACGCACACACTTAAGCAACAGTTCATATCTTCACTGTAATTTATTTATGACCTATCCGATGGAAATTTCTGAACACTTGTATTCTAACTAGTTTGACCTATAAAGTACAAATACACAATGCTGATATATTATTTTTAGGCAGTTTTTATTTATATTTGCGACCAAAATAAGTAGTAGTAATCATTTTTATAAAATAGAACTAATTGAATGTCTGGCGTAGAACATTGACTGTGTTCTCCATTAAGCGGTTTTATTTAAGCAATGAAGCACAGGTAGAACCTAGAAGCACTAGATTACCATATCCACGATTGTGCTATGTGCTACCTTTAAAACACATTTTAGTAGGGTACCTTTACAAGCATATATGTGTTAACATCTTGAAAAGTAGAAACATACATATTCAACAATCTTCTCAACTTGAACCTCAAATGTACAGAACTTGGATACACCTTTCATATTCAATACTTATTATTGTTTTAATTGGGACTCATGCTCAACCAATACACTGCATTTGAATTGTTTCAAGGCTTGTGGTGTTGGGTGTAGATATAATCCAAATGAGCCTCTGCAATCATCCTTCTGCTAGAGCATTCTTCATCCTTTTCAGAACACTCCTCTGATCCCATCAACTGCACAAATTTCCATCAAATTAGAATACCGAAAGAAAAATAGAAATTTAAAAGTATTATGTATATTCTTACTTGTTCCATATCATCTTTCATTTCGCTTGATGATATACCAATGGCCTTCAATTCCTTTTCACCTATATACATATCAAGTTGTTCCAACTTTAAAAATCAGTCAACAAATGGAAATGAAGTGTGCAAAGCAATACATAAAAAGCACAATACAACAACGTAGTTACCATGTTTTGAACCATTTGGTGGTACAAGTAGACGAGCAGAAGCAAAGAAAGAAGAAACAACGAGAACAAAGAAAAACAAGAGAATTTGATGCTTCATTGAAGATACTTCAGAAGGATTGTGACTAAGAAGAGAATAAATAAACGAAACTTTGCATAAAGCTGCTTAAAGGAGAACTTGAGTTTATGTCACGTGGAGACTCCAAAAAGTCCACAATTTAGAAGCACCTTCACTGGGACCTACCTTTCAATGTATAGCTAGAGTTTTCTACATTCTTCATGTGATGAGAGCATCTCATCATTTTCAATGTACAGTAAAGAAACCAATATGTAGAAACAAGAGAAAGGGATTGTTATTTTCATGGTGGTCCCAAATGGAGCAAGAAAACAAAAGGAATTAAAGTGAGAGCATAGTCAACATTAAAAGATGGGTGTGTTTAATTACTAGGTGTACCCTACTCTCTGATTTCTTCATATAGTCAACGAAAATATCCTATGTCTATATGATATAGTACCGAGTGCCTTCATTAAGTGTTTTGAAATAATTTGGCATCACTTGTAGTTTATCTTTATTTAGAAAAATATAACATTTTGAATAAACATGGACTACTTTAAACGAGATTCTAACAAGTGGACACTAGTTGATCCTCGGTCTGCCAAAACTAAATAATTGGCTTAGCTATAAGATAACTGATTAATAAATTAAATTTAAGTTAATAGTTAAAAAATACTTGGTTAATAATAGATGAGTGATAATTAAGTAGGAGGGGAAAGAAGGAGAGATGCATGTAGTGGATGCTCAGAGAGAGCACTCATATTCCATTTTTGGATTGTTGACAGCTATTTGATACCAATTTTCGTTCGACTTCAATTCTTTATACGGGTAGTTTTTAGTATTCCTTTCATTTGAATATTGTTTAAAGTTTTTCAGTGTGAAGAAAAGTAACTTATGTGAAATGAGTGTTTTCATGATGATCAATAAACCAAAATATTTTGATTTATAAGCGACTTATGAAGAAAAATAACTTATGTGTATTAGAACAAATGATTTAAGAAAGATGAATATTGTGAAAAACAAGTAGAAGAAGAGGGAAGAAGAGAGATTGCTGAGTTAGTTAGTGTAACTAACTCTTAAAACTGAAACTGTTATTATTGTTACTGCAGTTATGTGGATTACAAAGTAATGACCTTTTATATAGGCAACATGCCCAAGTCCAAATACAAGTTAAAGCCCAAATAATAACTAACAAGAATTAACCAACTAACACACCCCTTTAATTCATGTTATCAAGACTTCTCATCCTAATGCCTTTCTTTAACTCTTCGAATCTCACTTTCTTCAGAGGTTTGGTGAATAGGTCAGCTAGTTGCACTTCTGTCTTGCAATGTTCTATTTCAAGCTTCCCTTTGTTTATTTGGTCTCTCAGAAAATGATACATTCGTTTAATGTGCTTACTTCGATCCATGTTGCTTGGCATGTAGCATATGATGCAGTCACATATTCTGCTCCGCATGAACACAAAGTCATAATGCTTTGCTTCCTCGAACTCCAGGAGATTGGAGCTCTTTCGATCATGAAAATGTACCCTGCAATACTCTTCTTTTCATCTTGATCTCCACTGAAATCTGAGTCAGTGTATCCATACACTTCGACCTTTGTACTGTTCTTCGATTCTTTTGGCAACAACACATCATGATCAACAGTTCCCTTGATGTATCTCAACACCCTTTTTACTGCAATGAGATGACATTCCTGAGGCTTCTCCATAAATCTGCTCAACAATCCTACACTTTGGCAGATATCTGGTCTAGTATTGCAAAGATACCTCAATGATCCAATGATTTGTTTGTAAAGGGTCGAACTTACAAACTCATCATTTGATTCCTTCTTCAGCTTTGCTCTAGTCTTTAATGGAGTAACAGTTGCCTTACAGTTGCTCATATTGAACCTCTTCAATATATCTTGAGCATACTTTGTTTGATGCAAGAAAACTCCTCCTTCGATGTCTTTGAATTCCATTCCAAGGAAGTAGGAAATATTCCCTAAATCAGACATTTCGAATTCCTGTATTAAATTTGACTTTACCTTCATTATCTCAGCTTCATCTGCTCCTGTAATGAGTAAGTCATCAACATAGAGGCATAAAATAATTTGATTGGCACTTTCGACATCATTTACACACACTTCATGTTCAAAGACACACCTTGTGAACCATGCTTCGATTAAGAAGCTATCTATCCTTTTATTCCAAGCTCTAGGAGCTTGCTTCAAGCCATAGAGAGCCTTCCTCAATCTATAAACCTTCGACTCCTGCCCTTTGACGTTGAAGCCAGGTGGTTGAGTGACATAGACTTCTTCTTCCAGAGGTCCATTCAAAAATACTGACTTCACATCAAGTTGGTGCATTTTCCATCCTCTACATGCAGCTATCGAAACAACAATTCTGATTATTTCGATCCTAGTAACAAGCGCATACACTTCGTCGAAGTCAATACCTGGTTGTTGTAGAAAACCTCTGGCCATCAGTCTTGCCTTGTACTTTGCAATCTCACCATCTGGCCTTCGTTTCACCTTGTAGATTCATTTCACATCAATTGGTTTCTTGTTGGTTCTTTCAACAAGTTCCCAAGTGTTGTTCTTCTCAATGGCTCTGAGTTCTTCTTTCACGACTTCACACCAATTCGAATTGCTCAAGGCTTCACCCAAGTCAAATTGTTCTGCTTCAGCCATTATCATAGCTTCTTCGATTAAGTCACCATCAATATCTATTGCTTGATATGAAAATCTCTCATATCCAGTCAGCCTAGTTGACCCAGTTCTCGTTCTTGTGGATCTTCTTTCATTCTGCACAGGTGGTTCTTCATTTCGACCAGTCAAAGTATCACCTTGTTCATTTTGACTTGTCGAAGCTTCATCTTCTTCGAACACAGTTGTGACTGTGTCTGATTCTTGTCGAACTGCACTTCGACTCTAATCTTATCCTTTGCTTTTGTCTACAAGAACATCTCTACTGACCACTAGTTTATCTTCGATTGGTGAATACAACTTATATGCACCAGTCGAATGATAACCTATGAGCACCATGACTTCACTTCGATCATCCAGCTTCTTTCTCAATTGTTCAGGTACATGCCTGAAACGCATTGATCCAAAAATTCTAAGATGACTTACATTTGGCTTTGACCCTGTCCAAGCCTCATGTGGTGTCTTTTCAACCATCTTCTTCATTGGGCATCTGTTTAGAATGTATACTATTGTCGAAGCTGCTTCAGCCTAAAATCTCTTAGGCATATTCTTAGCTTTCAACATACATCTGGTCATGTTCAATACACTTCTATTCTTTCTCTCAGCGATGCCATTATGCTGAGACATATAGGGTGCAACAACCTCATGCTATATACCTTCCTCATTGCAAAATCTGGCAAATTCTGCTGAAGTATATTCACCACCACCATCAGTTCTTAACTTTTTCAATTTGCAACCACTTTGTTTCTCAGCATGCAACTTGAACTTCTTGAACTGTGTGAATACCTCACTCTTTCTTTCAATGAGGTAAATCCACATATGTCTGGTGAATTCAACAATGAAAGTAAAGAAATACCTGTTACCTCCATTAGACTTTAATTCAAAAGGTCCACACACATCTGAATGAACCAACTCCAGTTTTTGCCTTGACATTATAGGAAAATCAGGTTTGAATGCCTTCCTTGCCTGCTTAGCTTTGCAGCATTCTTCACATATCTGCTTTGGTTTCTTCACATACGGCAACCCAAGCACCATTTTCTTATGATTGAGCATACATAAACTTTTGAAGTTTAGATGTCCATACCTGTGATGCCATAGACAGTTCTTGTCTTCTTCTGCAGTTGAAGAAAGACATTTGTCATCTGATGTGTTGAGTTCGACTTTGAAGGTTTTGTTCTCCGCCAATGGTGCTTTCATGATTAGCCTCCCATCATCCCTATATACTTTCATCTGATTATTCTCCAACTTCATATTGAAGCCTTTGCAAGTAATTGACCTACACTTATCAAGTTACTTGTCATCGAAGGCACATACAAAACTTCAGTGATAATAGCCTTTCGACCATCCTTCCTGATAATCTAAATGTCTCCTTTACCACCTGATTTGATATGCCTGCCATCTGTAAACTTTATCACCTTTTCGACTGACTCATCTAACTTGGTAAACCAGTTTTTATTGCCAGTCATGTGGTTGCTACATCCTGAATCCAGATACCACATGTTATTTTTCTCAATGTTCGATTGAGTGTTCACCAGCAACAACACATCATCAGAATCACTACTTCAAGCTCGTGCATATTGAGCTTTATCACTATCTTTCGACCTTGCAGCTTTCTTGCTTCGATAATCTCTAGCATAATGGCTAAAACCTTGACAATTGTAACATTGCACCCCTTTCGTGTCAACTTTCTTCCCAGAATACTTGTTGCCCACTCCTTTCGAATCAATATTCTTGCTTGACTTCTCATCACCAGCAAGATTCTTACGCTGCTTCGATTTCTCTTTTCCAGCTTTCTTGCTGAATCTTGATTGCAATGCTTGTTCAGCTGTCTTCTCCCTTTCTGAGTTTCTTTGCTGCAACCTCATTTCATGAGCCTCCAAAGAAGCTTGAAGTTCTTCCAACTTCATCTCAGATAGATTCTTGGCCTCTTTGATTGTTACAACAAAGTAATTAAAATCTTCAATTAGAGATCTTAATACCTTTTCTATCTTCTGCAGACCTGTTAGTGCTTCACCACACGCCTTCATCTGATTTGTTAGAGTTTACAACTTCACCTTCTTCAGAAATATGCTGAGACAGATTCATTCTCTTTCATCTGCAACATCTCATACTGCTTTCTCAGAGTCTGCAACTTCACCTTCTTCAGTTTCTCATCTCCACCATACAACGACTTCAGCTTTTCCCAAGCTCCTTTTGCCGCTTCTTCTTCGATTATCTTCTTAAACACATCACAATCCACACACTGGTGAATCAAGAACAACGCCTTGCCATCTTTCTTCCTCTGATATTTGTGCGCAACTTTCTGGGCTTCCGTAGCATCTTCCTCCAGTTGTGACATTCCATCATTCACGATT